ATAACAATAAATATGAGATCTTTTGTAAATATTTCTTAGAATGTGTAATTGCGTGTATACATATGGGTGTTGGTTTACAACAAATACCTTTTTACACTACAAAGAATAATAATATAAATAAAACAGGATCAATACATAAGTACGACTTATCGACTGCAAGAAAATTGTGAAAAACAGTTCAAAATTGACGACGTTGATTAGTGGTAAAAAATTCAGACGAACTGGGAACCTCTTTATTCAACGTTGCTTAAAAATACGCAATATATTTAAAAGGCATTGTAAAAATTGCATCATCTGATATCATTATTGTACTTTAACCCTCATATTGTTAATATCTTTACTTATTTAATGACATTTAATAATTTAATTCTATTTTAATGTTTATCAAATGTTTAGGCAAACAAGCTGACGGCCCACCTGATGGAAAGTGGTAACCGTCGCCTATATAGACATGAGCAGTACGATGGACATAACAGAGTATACTGTTTCGCTCATGATACCCTCATGAGTTGCCATTCCTGAGGACTCAGGTGTTATTCCTCTGTACCCAGTAAATTCACGCCATATCCCACCCTTCAAACCGAAACACAGCCATGCAAACACAACTGCTTCACGGTTGAAACACGAATGGGACAGAGGTACCCAAGCAATCGACTTTTGTACAAAGTCTACCTCTGGTGTTTTTACAGATAAAATCAATTTACATTGTCACTTTTATTTAATTGGCACTTTTATCACGCAATCATACAAAATGTAATGTTTCTTATTACATTCTTGATATAAAGGATTTAAATTAAATAGACTTATCAAACGAGATGACATTTTAATCAGTTAAAACTAAAGGTAAAACGTGGCTTTGTACTGTCCCGGGCGTCCAGTTCACTAAAGCTACATTTCTGGAATTAAGGAGAACGACAGGCTCGCGAACGCAGTGGATTATATGACTTTGTGTCCGTCAGTAAATAGTCATAATGTAGTAACAATTTGTACTAAGGTTTCCGGATCAATAAGCTATAAGGAAGACCTTACTCGTGTGTGCGAACAAAAAGGAAAATAGAAAAATAAGCCGAATGTGTGTAACTCAATATATTTTTATCTCGCTAACTAACGTCGAGTATCTGTTACGTGTACTTAGGGAGTTACCTCTTTAAGTATCGTATTAGTGCAATTTAATTTTACGTAGAAAAATATAGTCAATATACATTATTCACACTGTTTTATTTATTTATCACATTTATTAAAAAATTTAAAGAGATAACTCCAAGTAGAGAAGATTTTACTTATGCATTGAGTACAAGGCATATATTTTGTAAAATTTTTAACTAAGAATTTCAGAATTCTTATTATAATGCAATCAAGTATATTTGGAGCATAACTAAGCTATTTCTACAGCCCCTAGAGTTACTTTATTATTTTTATACTGTATTAGGTGTCATTTTGTGGAAGTCTATATCACTGGTTACTTGATTAGAATTGTTTAATTCCACTATTATTAGTGTGCCGCTAACAATTGATCATTGTCTACTATTATTATTAGATTCAGAAGTTTTACGATTTCCCTTTTTAATCATCATTCTCAGATCATTATTCCCACACATATTGTGACACGTATTTCATCTCTAAATTATGCATTATCATGCAATTTATAATCATTAATTAAAATTGTCGTCATAATCTTGGATAGCGATAATCTTGGAGGTAAAGAGTATAAACAATACGATCACTCATTCACTCACTCGCACTCCACAGTTACAAATTGTCACCTCTTGGGAGAAGAAACGACGTAACTTTGGACGTGCAGATGTTCGGCGGAACTGTCACAAAGTTTAAGTTGTCACATATCTGCTTTGTCTTTATTTGGACTGTAAGATAAAGAATTTGTACATTTATGTAGTTCTGATTACTTAATATATGTCTAAAGAATTTTAGATGATGATCTCGTACTTTTTCTTCTTAATGTTAGAAGACACCTGTCGACGTATTAATGGTTGGATAAAGCAAACTAAAGAGTGAAAGTTTGAGACAGACTTTGATAATTTGAAAAATACTTATTTTATTACAATTATATAGATAATTTGCATTACTTACAGCACACAAATTACAACATATATAGATATACATAAAAAGCGAGATAACATAAATGATTAAAAAATACATAAAGCTAAATACAATTTTTCGTTTGTGCGTGTGCCATAACAATACAAAATGGTCACAACTCAGTTTATTGCTTCGCCCTCAAAAGAGCAAAGCACTGATATTTTGTTGCGGCCAAAGGGAATAGGGTATTATTTTAATTCCACTACCATTAGTATTTGTATGCCTGACAACATTCTAAGATTGACCATGTTAATCATCAATCTCCGACTACCATGTTATCCACACACATTTTGTAACACGTGTTTCACCTCCAAAGTTAAAATTATTAGATCATTGCTCGGAACGTAGTGTTAACTGTTCGGCACCCAAATTTTCGTAAAATCTTCGAGTGTCGGCAGTCACAAATATATTGAAACAAAATAATTTTAATCAAATAACCAGTGATATGGACTTCCGCAAGATAATACTTAGTTCAGTCAAATATAATTCGGAAAGTTTCATTAACGTTTACTTCCTTTGTATGATAATGAATGATAACTATTTGCACATTTGTGCGATTTTATTACTTTAACGTTTTAGACACAGAATGAAAAGGATTATATAGGTTAGTTTTTGTTGGACTAACGTGAGAAGAATATTTCCTAGTCGATTCTAATGTAAGTATTCTGGATATGTATTATACTTTAAGAGTTACAGTCACGCTTGATCCTCGTCGGTTTACATCACATTCATCACTTGTACAATAAGCGAGTGGCAATGCTTTTTTCTGCTGTGTGCTCTTTGATTAGATTTGGTACTGAACAAACCCATCCATCGCGCAACCACAAAAGGTCGGTGAAGCCACGTCGTCCGAGTCTCGTTTTCCATTCGTTCCGCTGTCCAGAAATTTCCGCAATAAAATTAATCGTTCCAATAAAATTGAAGCGAATAGAGCTACCCATGCATGAACACTTTTTAATTGGGTCGCTCTTTTTCTCCTTTTGCAGTCATTCAAACGAAAAATCGAACTTGAGTACATATGAGCGACGCGTAGACATACTGGAATTAATTTTTCAAAAGAAACACAAAGTGTATTCGCAAACCAGTTTAAGTTATTTATCGAATGAGGAAAATTTTGCACGATTCGCTAATTTGGACATTTGTCAAAAATTTTAATAAGAAACGCTTAGAATGTACTCTCTATTGTCTTGAAAACTTCTTTGATAATTCTTTCTAATCTATTTGTAATTTTAAAAGTGGAAGATAAGTGGACTTGTTTTTTCCATACAAGAATGGACCTGGACTTATTAAAGACTCAAAATTGCCCATAATACTGTTACATTAAAGCTGATTCTAGCTTTCTATTTAATGACTATTACGTGAATACGTTTTTTTATTATACTCATAGGACGTCACTAAAGAGTTCATTTATCTTACTTGTGGTTAGAAATTAGATTAAACCCCAAGAATTAGAATCAGAATGTTAATGCTAGATGGAATTAACCATATAATTAAACAATATTTTCAGTTAACCTCGTTATCGATATATATAATAGTTCATATTTTTTAATTTAAAACAAATCACCATTCACAATTGAGGTGCGCAATTTGTTGCGTATAAACGCAGCTCCATTGGGATTGCATAAAAATCAGCCAAAAACACGGGATAACAGGGGCGTGGAACAAACGAAAATATATATCCCCATTTTCATTTTCGACAAGCAATCGCTTTTAATGGGTTCAACGCGATTCCCACTTGAGTTTGTTCGATTTATTTCATTTGATCGTTCAACGATTCTATGGCAAGGTGTGGCATCAACAAAAATAATTGTCGCTGTTGGCCAATTTTCATAAGTATTAACTTCTTGCTATTAGTTAAATTAAGCTATATTGCTGTGATCAAAGCAATTCATTAAGGGATTAATTGCTAATGGCATGTCACAAATAGGTGTATTGATCTATTGAAATTACGTTAACATTATATAAGTGGTTAATGTAGAAACATGGCCAATTAGATAACATGTTCCGGTTTTGTTAATATGTATGAATATGTGTTAGCTAATATAATTATGAAATATACATTTTGCGTTAAAGGTTTAGAATTCTGAAATATTATTCGAATTCTCCTTTCATTACGTATTAAAAATTTAAATTGTAAAAGTAAATATTGTAAAAATGTATAATAAATAAATAAATAATTTCGATAATTAGATTCTAAATATCACTTTTTTTCTACAATTTAATTTCTAATGAACGTCAAAATAATAACAAAGAGAAATAAAATAGAAATTCAAGCGATGGAAAGTGATAATTACCACGTATAGTAATGAACCACACTATAGACTTTACAGAATACTATATAATAATAATAATCGTCATCATATCAGTCGTTAACTGTCTATTGCTGAATGTAGATCTCCCCTTATTTGGGGGAGGGGGGGGGGGGGGGGAGGTTGCCAGTAGTTACCACGCTTGGCAGGCGGATTATCAATCGCAGTTTTATTTTAATGGATGATAATGAAATGGTAACTCCGCCTGCGCTATAAGTAACTATACGCTTGTGAGGCATCGGTGAGCGATGATAGGTGACGATAAAAGCAGGTCAGTTAGCCTATTGTGACGAATTTCACTAGAATTATCCACAATAGTTTCCAGGGGGAACTGCGTGGAGATCGACTTGATAGGGTGTATTGCTAGCAATGGGGCAGTTAGATCTCATTAATAGCAATTCCTTTCCCTCTTGACAACTGTAGTTAGGCTTTAGTGATTTAAGACGGATGAGCATCTCTCGACCATTACTTTGTAATCATTATATTGTGTAAATGATTTACTAGGTATATACTGTACATTTGTAAATAGATTTAAAATTATAAATAGTTTTAAAAATCTAGCTTTTAAATATAATAAAAGTGCATTTAACTTACCCAAATCTTCGGCATCTTCGCTCCATTCGCCCTCTTGGGCCCAGCATGCAGTCAGCATCACCACTAATCGCATCCACTTAACTGACCACATTTTAAATTACTAATACATTACATTCTGGCGTTTTTATACACAACTTCACTTATCAATAAATATTTTTTTTACACTATATATCCATAGTTCTACACTAAAGAATTATGTCACTTTGCACAACACTGCATTATATTTACATGCTATTTTTGGTCACCATTTTAATCCTTTCTCTAGTTTTGTAGTTATTTTTCATAATCTGTGGTAATATTTCATATTGAATAAAAATAAAATAGTTCACTATTTAAATAAAATTAAAGGGGCTGGTGAAGAAGTATGTAGTTAGAATTATTGTTGCTATTTATAACGTTTTAGAGTGATAACTGTTACTCTCGATTACAGTTGAAAAGTAATAAATTATTAACTTTTTCTTTTTACACTTTTGCGTCGTGTATTTTATGGTTTATAAGAGATGGAAATCAACGTGATTATTTTATAATAAATTATGATTATCTTCTTCTATTATTATGACAAAATGCTTGTATCAAATACAGGGCACGGAGGTATAACATGTTGGGTCTTAAGTATAACATCGCATGAGAGGTGATGATGATGTTATTCAAGTCTGTAGACAATACATTAGATGAGTTGTTGGCTTGTTTCTTATTCTAAATTGTATAAAAAAGGCCATTGTTCAGCGTTGGATGTTATAAGACTGATGCTGATAATGATGGTACTATCATAGAGTATAATAAAGCTACATTATTTAGGTAGTTTCTACTACTTATTGTTTTTGGATAGCATCCTAGGTTGCTAAACAATGTAAATATTCATTATCTATAAAGGCCTGTAAGGTGGCTTGTCAAATTAATGCTTTACCTGCTCTCTGGTGTATGAAACAGGTATCTAAAATACATAAATTTGCTTCTACTTTTATATATTACAGATTTTGCGGGTAATTTTAATAATAATTATTAATTTATTTTACAAATATATTTTGCTCCTCAAAAGAACTAACTCAATCGTGAACATGCATAAATAAATGATGACAAGTTTTGTAAATAAATTGAAAACATTTTAATTTTAAATTCTTAATCGCGTGTTTTTAACTTTACAATGAGCACTTTTTTGCTAAGAAATTAACTTTAATCATCACAAAATTAATATTCAACTAACACGGGAGTAAACCTTATCAAATTAAACAAAAATAATATTAAAAATACGTTCAGAACTGGCAATATAATCATATAAAAGATTCAGACGAACTGAGTATAATCAATATTCAGTTCCCTTTTGGTGTTCCTTTGAAAAGCTAAATAATAGTAGGGGAATCTTAATATACATAACTATTATATACCTATTCATATATAAGCGTATGCTGTTTATACGTTTAACATTACATAATCGCCAGGCGGATTAAGTTGCGGCTGGCGTGCTTCATGACAGGTTGTTAGACAACTGTGAATATGCTCCTATGCTTGCATTCATCGGACAAAGGGAATACTGGAAGTATTTAATGAAAACCTGTCAGGTACTACCGAGTCTAGTATATTCGTCTGTTGAATCTACTATAAATGGAATATATTTCATCTTAAAAATCATAATTTTGGATAGGATCTTACAAAGTGTTTATCGTCGGGACTAGTGTAAGTTCTACCTAAATATTTAAATATAACCATATTTTTAAACACTGACTCGAGAAACGAACCAAAGAATCAACCTTATAACAAACTCCATAATAAATTTGTTTCTTTGTTTGAGTGTCAGTGTCAATAAATCACCAAGAATTGTGAGTCAGCGATCAAGAATTAGTTAGCAAAGGACTTTCCAAAATATTAGTAATAGTTAAGAGAATAAACAATATTATGTATTCATATATAAAGGGAGTCGAAGATTTTGTATCAAAATTGGGCTGCATGTGTCAGAAATCTCATGATTTCATCAAACAGTTATATTTGGGTTTGATGAATGGAAAGCGGCAGTGAAATTTCAGGGCACGGAATTAATTACAGGAGTTCCCTTGGATCTTACAAATGATGACGCATGCGGAGTATCAAGAAAATCACAGTTCTATGTTCATGGCGCTGCTTGCCGTTATTTAAGTTACTTTATTAATCAAAAAGATAAAACCTAAATAGGGATATATAGGGATGGTTTTAATAATTCTTGATGCAAAAATTAATAAACTTTTATTGACCTTTGAATGTATGAGACTTTATCTCACTTGAAATACAGTTGGAGTTAAAAATAGATGCTAATAAAAGGTTACGTTATTTAAAGTTACATTTATTAGCTTTAGTTTTATATTATAATTAATAATTTTATTGTATTCAAATGAATACATCTTTATTTTGCAGCAACTATAATATCCGCACTCATTTTCGGAAAATAGTTGTGATAAGACTTATAACCTTTCGCCGGTGTCTGGACGAATTCAAGCGGGTTCCTCGCGACTCCGACTCAAGCGGACGAGGAACACCGGGTTTTAGCCGGTAAGAGTCTGGCAATACTCACATATCTTCCCAGGAGTATGTAGGTCTGCATGAGTATTTATCCTCGACAAACCAATTTTTAATGTAAACAACATGTTTTAGAGGCACTGACAAAATTGATGCATGTTTCGAGTATTACTATTACGTACTTCTTCAGTGTATATATAAAATTCTCATAAGAGATGTTGAGAATTATATTTTAATAAATGTAGAAACTTCTAGATAATGTTGCGACATTGTACCAACTATTCATTGTGCAACTTTATACTTACATTGAATTTTAAAATTAAGCAAATTCTAATATTTCTTCTAATACTACAAATATGTAAGGTTCTATCGAAATTTGTATGAAAAATGTGATTTAAATCTTTGTTTTTAAATCATGCATAAACGGCTGTAATAATTTGAATGAAAATTAGTACATGAATAGACAATATCCTTAACTAATTTTATATCTTAATCTACAGAGGAAAAGTCGCGGGATAGTATCTAATTAAAAAAACAGATGTGACATACTGGTGTCTCAACATGAGGGGTGCTTTTGTATCTTTTGGCAGGGAACCGTAATTAGTTAGACAGCATAGTCGACACTCAAAGTAAATCGTTCCCACATAAACACATTTAAACGTCGGCAGAACACATGTTCAAAGGGTCGGCTTTCGGTCCCCTGTCAGAAATATAAAACTTTGACGCTTGGTTACGCATACACGGGTAAATAATGTCTTTTAATCTCTACAGAAGCTGACCCTTATCCCGGGAATAAAAAGTTTCCACAGAGGTTACGAACAGTAACGCAAAATTTATTTTTCGATTATGTTCTATAATACTCGGTCAAATGGAAAGGGGAGAGGGTTGAAGGTATGATAACTTGAAGTTATTGTTGATCTTTATTTGAAGCTATACAGCTTTAATACTGCCAGTCGAATGTACATACACAATATTATGTGAAGTTTACTAACATATAATTAAGTACAACTTATGACATTTATGTCTGTTACATCAAACATAGATCAACAGTAACTTTAACTTAATTCATACCGTCAACTATCTTCCCTGTAGTAGAATAATTATACAACTTGTAATTAAGTTATTGAAGTTAATTACAAGTTATGTACTTTTGTATATTTTGGGTTTATAAGTTAAAAATGGAACTAATAATTACAATCACTTGTTCAAAGCCCTTTTACTTTAGTGGGGTTAATGGTATTATTAGCGCAGAGTCATTAATATTTATGGCCATATAGTAACGCTAAAAATTAGAACTGATGTTTACAAAGCACGTTAACAAATATTTTGACTCTTCAAAGTCTTAATTATCCGCAGTGTTGCCCACATGAATCAATATATTTATAAAGTATCCTATGTGTTCAGTCAGAATATAACTCACCCATGTATTAAATTTTATTAAAATTTGTCAAAACAAATATCCAAACATCTATAAACTTTTACATTTACAATATTACTATGATAGTAATTTTAAAATTTAACATTAATATTTATAAAGCTTGTTAACAAATATATATTTTTAAACGGCGTCATTATTCATAAACATACACAGTATTAGGAAAGAATTCTATAGACTGTGGTATACATTTGTATACATTATACTTGATTGCCAAATAATGTCTGTTACAAACAGATCTATTTGTTTCTTTCACTATCATTAATATAGTAAAACAAGCTTGCTAGTTACGTGGTACTTTATTTCTCCATTTGTTAGTATCGTAGCATCTATTTTAGTCTTTGTAGGTTCATTTAAAATGGGTTTATTATTTCTACTGCAAACATATGAGGGTATTGTTCTTTGGTATTAAGTCTAGGTCGCCTTCGTAATAGTTATATTATTTCATTCACATTTTTTTTTATACTACTTAGAATGGCAAACAAGCTGACGGCCCACCTGATGGAAAGTGGTAACCGTCGCCTATAGACATGAGCAGTACCATGGACATAACAGAGTATACTGTTTCGCCCATGATACCCCCCATGCGTTGCCATTCCTGAGGACTCAGGTGTTATTCCTCTGTACCCAGTAAATTCACGCCATTAACATACGAAGGTCTTTCAAATGACTTATCAAACTACAAAGTTACGTGTCCTCAGAAGCATGAAACAAGTATAGTGTCATGGGGACCTTTGGGTCGGGTACGGATCATGAATGGGATTGATCATTAATTATTATTTTTTTGTGATTCTATGAAATATATTAGTTTTATATATATTATAGATTATGTAAGTAAATTACGATAATTAATGACATTACAAATATAGTTAATTTGTATATTTGTTTTACTACAAAAATAATTTAAAACACCGCTTATTTAAACAGTGTCTAAAAAAAATCTAAGTTATTAAATGTTGTTTACTGTGTGTAATAATGGGGTTGATTCTGAGGTGCTATTTATACAAACCTAACTATTAATCTAATATTTTAATTTGATAGTTTCGTGAATCTATATTGATCCTTAGAATGTAGATTTAGCTGTGATACACGAGTAAAATTGAATGCTTAATTTGACAGATAGGTTTAGAGAAGTGATGCCTCAGAATTAACCCAAATGTTTATTTGCAGTTTTACGTACCAAAGTTTATAAATTATTATAATAAAATGTATTACTTTAATTACCTCATATTTTTAATAGGATAAATTTTATTTTGCTTACATATAAACAGACGTTTGACAGTCAGTAAGTCGTGTAAACATGTTTGTATACCTGTCTATTGCAAGTTTAATTTTTGTTTGTAACACAGTTAAGGTTTAGGTTGA